AAAGAGGTTGGTCGGAGATTAGTGATTTCAAAATGAATTGTCCGAAATCCTACTCGCCATGAGGTAGAAGGGAGAAAGCTCAATACGTAAGAAAGTATGCGAGCCATCAAGAGCATGCTTTGATACAAAATTATCTCAAAAAAATCCAAACATTTTTAACTCAATTATTTTTTTAACTCAACTTTAACTCAACCCCACTATCATCAATATTACCAATATAATTAAATAATATCAAATCAATCATTCTTACACAAAACATCACCTTAATTCACTATTCATCTACTCACATAATTTTAACTAACAATCACTTCAAATCTCATCTCTCTTACTTTACATCAAATCAACTTTAATCATTTAATTTTAAATATTATTTTAACATATCCACTAACAACTAACCATACCAACTTTTTCAAAACTAACCAAACCAAACAAAAAAATCCAAACAAAACCAAAAATTTTTATATCCAATCATCCTCCAAGCAGCTCTAGAGACCCCAACACCCACCTGATGCCCCCTAGCGACGAATCCAATAGCAGAGGTCAAAAATTCCGTAGGCCCGCAAAACCTTCGCGCGCACCGACGCGCCTAGAAAGGCAAGTGTGGATTTATGAACTTTGGATTTGCAAGATTGGCTATCAATCAATTGTGCTAGTCGGGCGCGAAGTCATAGAGGATAGTTATTCATAGAAAAATGAAATGCCTCTGAAGAACGAATTGGGCAACCTGGTCCATGAAATCTAGCTTTCGCCATATAGATTAAAATCGATATTATCTGATTGATTTTTTTTATATATCTTTTAACTCAAATATAATCCAACCAAATTCTTCTCGATACTATCATTACAATTAAATAACACTAATCAATCATCTACATACATAAAATTAACTTATTCAATGTTCATCTACTCATATATTTTTAACTGACAATCATTTTCAATGAATCCTCTCATATTTTTACACGATTAATTTTAAATATGATTGAAATACAAATTCAAAATCACACTCAATACTTCACATATCAACTTTATTCAAAATTAATCCACTTTAATTAATAAATCCAATAAAAATTGATTTTATTTATATTGAGTCACCACCAATATTTGCAATTATGCATTAGATTTGAAGTCCACCAATAACATGTTGACAAAACAGCACGAGCTTGAAACCTCCAATACGAACTGTCCGCCGACTCAAATAAACACCTTACCCGTGAGACAATAGAAATTACGCGCCCTGATCGGCGAGTAGACGCCACGCTATCCTCTCTCAATTTGTCAACGAACACAGCTTCTTCCCCATCAACATTCAACAACCTCTCCGCCATCACTGCCGCATAAATTATACTCTTAACCCTAAACCCCATTACTATAAAGCTCAATTACCCGCACACTAGGGTTTTAATATCCCCAAATTCTTATCTTTCTTTCCCCCCCGCAAGTCAACAATTGCCCAAATCTCTTAAAGAAAGTTGGGATTTCTTCCAGGTTTTAGACGAAAAAAAAACACATTTCTTGGTCTTCCAGGTAGATATGTCACTACCGATGCGCTGAATTTGGCATCGAGTTTGTTTGATTTTTCAAGAATTTCCCCCTTTTTTTAGCAGCAAGCAAAAGGGTTCCTTGGATAGTTTTCACCGGCCCCAAATGGAAGGCGTGGCGGCCGCGAAGCCCACTTTGTGGCGGCAGTCTTCGAAGGCGCCGGAGAGGGACCTTCATAAGGTCATCGACGACTTTGACAGAGATAACGAGGATAACGATGCAAACGACATGGACCCAGGGTTTAAGCTGATGTGTATGGCTAATGAGGGTGATGTAGAAGGTATCCAGGAGCTTCTAGAATCGGGTGCCGATGTTAATTCCCGGGACGTGGATTTCCGGACGGCACTTCATGTTGCCGCTTGTCAGGGGCACGGTGGTGTGGCCGAGCTTTTGCTTGTGAACGGAGCTGACGTCGACCCCAAGGATCGGTGGGGGAGCACGGTATAGCCCACAAATAAATCTCTGCTGTGTTGTGTATTGTTACTACTTGTCAAAATTGTATGGAGTGATTTGTTTTTGGATAATTACATGATTGCTGTCTAATGCTGTTGAGTGTGCTACAGTCCTTTTCAATTTCTGGTTAGTTATCATTTTCGGGGGTTTACATCGATATTTGTTTGGAGTTATCTGGTAATTGTGTTATGAAAATCAAGATTTCTTATAACAGATGGATGAGTTTGTTTGTGGTGTTTAGTTTCCGATAGGCTTTTATTAGTTTTCCAAAAGTTGTGAGGTAGAATGTCTTGGAAAAAGTTGAAACTCTTGCATATGTAGTTACTATTAGTATAAGATCTTAAATGTTTCAGGTAGTTAACAATTGGAGCAATTGTGTTTAGAACAAAAGAATTTTGGATAAAACTTTGTAAGTATAGTCTTCTAATTCTCCAATAGAAGAGACTATGAGAGATTTGTTGCATATCCTGCTGTTGCCTTCCAACACTCTGAACTTGCTTAAATAGCCTCTTGCAGATGCCATACATTACAAAAATCATGCCGTGATTAAGCTATTGGAGAATCATGGTGCAAAACGACTAGTGAGTCCCTTAATTCATTTGTTTTAGTTTTATTTTGTTATTATCTTAATTTTGATGACTGTTTCTTGTTTTCTTTCCTCCCACGACTAGTTTGTTTATTGTTATGTGGTGTTTCTCTTAGATTGCTCCCATGCGTGTACAAAATGCCCGTGAGGTGCCGGAATATGAGATTGATCCGAAAGAGCTTGATTTCACTAACAGCATTTCAATAACAAAGGTAAATTTTTCTTGTGATGTTTTAACACTATCCCGTAACACGCTGTAAATATTACTAAATCGTACGGGTTGACATCGTGGTCATTTGGATTTTTTAATCTACTACTGAAAGTTCCGATCCACAAGAAAAGTTTACAAATAATAGAAAAAACTTATGTTTTGTTACTAAAATTGTGATCTCTAGCATGTTGTTTGATTTGAAATGATGATCTTCAGTTTGAACTTTGTAAAGTGGTTTGGTGAAAAAATTCTTACCATGTTTTACTCTCCTGTGAACCATGAGCTGTTTTTTACATTTGCTTACTTTCGTATAATCCTGCTGCATTATCTGGTTTTTTTTCTTTTTCTTTTTCTTCTTCTTCATTTTGAACTTAAACCTGACCGTGAGAACATTTATTCAGGGAACCTACAGAATAGCTTCTTGGGGTGGGACCCAAGTTGCTGTAAAAATATTTTGGGAGGGGACTGCCGATGAGTGTAAAGTGTGAGTCTTTAAAGATAAAAAACAGATGGTATATTTTAGTAATCCTTTGAATTTGAGGATCTTTTTAACTTTATTCGATTTTCTGTAGGAGGGCATTTAGAGATGAGCTTTCGTTGCTTCAAAAAATAAGACATCCAAACGTCGTTCAGTTTCTTGGTGCCGTAACACAGAGTAGTCCTATGATGATTGTAACAGAATATTTACCAAAGGTATATTAATTTCTCTTTTTTTTAAAAAAAAATTTTCTTTCCATTTTTCCTTTTGGTGCTTGTCGGTTATAGTTTCGTGCATGTGCAGGGTGACCTTCACGAATATTTGAAAAGAAAAGGAGCTCTTAAGCCTGCAAAAGCCCTCAGTTTTGCTATGGATATTGCAAGGTTATGCTGTAGCTGTACATTTTTCAAGAAAATTTTTAACCGGAGTAAAAAAAATTAAACTTGAATAGTATTTTGGTCTTCCAGGGGAATGAATTATCTACATGAACACAAACCAGAAGCTATCATTCACCGTGATCTTGAACCTTCGTGAGTTTTCTAGTTATCTAATTTTGTTCATTGTGCTAAATAAATAAATCAATAACGGGAAATTTACTCTATCGTTTGTTGTTTACTAACAATACAGAAATATCTTGCGGGATGTTTCGGGACACTTGAAAGTTGCAGATTTTGGAGTTAGCAAGCTGCTCGAAGTTGCTAACAGAATCAAAGAAGACAGGCCTTTAACTAGTCAAGATACTGCTTGTGAGTTTTAGGTTTTTTTTCCCCTTTTAACGATTCTAATATGGGTAAAGCGAACACTATATTTAACATTATCCGTGCATTAACAGGTCGTTATGTAGCCCCAGAAGTCTTCAGAAATGAAGAGTACGATACGAAAGTGGATGTTTTCTCATTTGCATTAATTCTGCAGGAGGTATTTTATCATTTATCATTTTTTATGGCTTTTTGGCAACTTGTATAATTTGCTTTTTTTTTTTTGTTTTTTCTTTGACAAATTGAAATTTCTATGTGTACAAAAAAAAAAAAAAAAAAACATTACAGTTTATTGAAGGGTGCCCTCCTTTTTGTTCGAAGCTCGACTCTGAAGTCCCCAAATCGTATATTGCTAAACAGCGCCCCCCTTTTAGGGCCCCGGCTAAGTTTTATGCCCACGGACTAAAAGAGTATGCGTTTCTTCACAAATATATGAAATGCTATATTTTCTTCAATAAACACCGATGGACACAACGAATAATCATTTTTTGCAATTTTCTTTTTCTTTACAGGTTGATCGAAGGTTGTTGGAGTTCGAATCCATCTGATAGACCGACATTTAAACAAATTATTCCTCAGCTAGAGGCCATTTACAATCGTGTTGCCCGTAAAAATAGTTGGAAGGTATTTTTCTCCCCAGCCAGCCTCTTTTTCTTCTTGTTTATTGATGTTTTTATCCACACAGATTTTTTTTTTTCGCCGCTCGTGTGCAGATTTTACGATTGAGATGCTTTCAGAGTACGGATCGGAGGAAAGACGGCTCCACGGTTGATAGTTCATCGAGAACAGCTGGAAGCATGTAGAACATTCTTTTGTGCAGGTTTTGTTTGATTCTTGTGCTGCAGATAAAAAAAAAAAAAAATCAGTCTTTGGTAAGGCTGATGATGTATTTGCTTAATAAAAAGGCACTCACTCTTCTTCTTCTTCATGAAAGCATTTGTGTACATTATTGAAAGTTGTAAATATGTCATTACTGGTTCAGAACAATGCTTTTGATTCTTGAATAGGGACCCTTTTTTTTATATTTATATATTATTATTATTATTATTATTATTATTATTATTATTATTATTATTATTATTATTAACAACGGTTGATGGTGGAAATGTTGTTATTTATAGTCAGATATTGTTATTTCACCTGCCACATGCATTTCCATATCTTAATTAATTTATTTATTTATTTTTTTTTCCAACCATTGGATTATATATACAAACACATGCCTACACAGATATATTTTGATCCAACGGCGAGAAACTCGATTTGTTTGCTACACACACTCATAGAGTGAAATCTACGGCAGTAACAAGTCAAGCTCACCTAGATATACATATTCACAAAATCACACACACACA